TTTTTTTATAATTGAAAAAAATTTTTATTTTATAATATATTAATATGTTATTTACATAATTGTACTTTAATATTTTTTCAAATAACTTGTATATTAGAGATCTGTAAGAAATTTTTATCAAACAGTAGTATTTTTATATTATTAATGTTTATATTTGAAATAATTTTAAATTATTTTATCAGAATTATACATATATCATGATTTCTGCTACTTGAACTATACAGATAACTTATTGAAAACCCTATACCATCAAGAACTGTTAGAATTAAATAAAACTTATGCTTAAGTTTAGTCATATTATAAGTAATGTCAACAAGTAAAATGTCAAAAGTCATTTTATGCAAATTGGTAATAAATAATGTTATAAAAGCAAATACTTATATTAGATCATCTATTTCTAAGATAATTTTATAGTTTGACTGACTGAAGTTGATTATTTGATCACTTATATTTTGTAATAGCATGATATATCTACCAATAATATGCCTGAACAATAGTAAATAATTCATAATTATTTAACTTTTTAAGAATAATTTGATTATATAACTCAGGTGTTAAATAAACTAAGTTTTTTTTAATATATTTTTTAATTTCATAAGTAATACTTATGTATTGTGGCCATAGATGAAAATAAATAAAATCTAATATTACTGATGCTAATTTATTTTGTAAATCAATTCTAATAAAAATAACATCTTTACAATCATAATGATCCAATTATGACTCTATATTGCATTACTTAGAACTATTTAAAACTTTTGTTATTTTTTTTCTAGCTCTTGGTAACAATTGCACCAATAAGTGAAGGTTGTGCTTTTTGTTTGTTTATTATAATACTTCTTATGGTAAACATAAGAGTATCTGTCACCTTTCTCACAAAACTTTATAATTTCAGTTGCTATTAAGTTGGTATGTAATTCATCAATGTTGGTTCCTAATTTGTCAATACAATCTGAGAAACTTATAGTTATATAAAAATCCAATTGAGCATTTTCTTCAATATTATCCATATGTTTGTTATAAACCACATCTTCAAGATTTCAAGTTCTATAGCATTCTCTTGCATTTCATAAATATCATCCATATTTTGCTCTTGATTTTTTCATATTTTTCCTTGATTTATACGAGTTAAGCATTCGATACATGTTTTTTTTTTTATTTTCAAACTCATTATTTTGTTTTATTTTTCGACAGGATGGACATTTTTTTGAGTTCGATTGGGTTGAATAATCGGCTTCCATTAATTAAATTTTCACGAAATATTTGGTAAGAAAGAAAATTTAAATAATCATTGTTACAGTACTATATTATAAACAGATATCATCATAAATGACTAATATACAATTGCATCATTATATTTCGGACAATTATTTTAAACAGCGATTACGTAACTGATTTTGGTGGTCATGCTAGGTTCGTGATGGATCATCAGTACCGATCTTGACGGAGTTAAAAACAGCTGTTTGAATACTGTTTCTAGGGATGGCATGTGATTTAAATCACGATGATATAAATCACTGATTTTTATTTTAAATCAATTTAAAGCAGATTTAAATATTTTATTATTACACTTCGCAAAGATGTTATGCTGCATCTGAGATTCTGTGGATTTAAAAATCGCATTCAAATCAGAATTTGAATATAAATAATTGAATTACGTAATAAAGATCGAATGATGATTTTTGCCATCCTGATAGACGATAACTTTTTTCATATATTTCACTGTAGTAGTATAGTATTTTAGAGACCATTTTCTTAGAACCATATCAGAAACGGTATGTAAATAAGTAACAGTACAGACGATCCATCAGGAACGGTATTTTTGCCATACAGGGAGGTCACCAAAATTCCGGTCGGGATACCTCGGAATCATGATCGGCAGGGCCGGAATTAACTAATTTTGCCCAAGAACACCAAAAGATTTACTAATGAAGTCATGGCCCACTCATTAAGTAAAGTTGCTTAGCTGATAATTTTGGTTTCGAAATGGTTGACATATATTTCTAAATGCTGGCCTAAATCCAATGGAACCGATCCGAAAATTTGGTAATCTCCTGTAAAAATTGGAAGAAAAAAAGTCATGCTGGCGCATTCCGACCCGGATTGTTATGTAAACCAATGTGGGAAAGCGCAAAAGTCATGTAAATAATTGCCCGGAGTTTCCCGACAATAACAACAGGCAAAACCACCCATATGTATAACTGCAACCACTTGTTTCGGTTAGGGTCAAGAAACCCCGGGCTGAAAATCACTTCCGACCATAACCGGATCCAATAAAATTACACAAGATCTTGTGTAATAAACGTGAAAACAAGAAATTGTAAAAAAAAACCGCAAATAACACAAAAATTCATTATAGTAACTCACTTTCGACCTCTAAGTAAAAGTTTCCAGAATGAAATTTTATTTTAGGACACGGTTTTTAATGTTAGATTTATAGGAAATTTTTGAGATACTACGAACCGATATTGTTTTGGTCGGTAGCTCGGAATTTTCTTGACATAAGGGTACTCGGTTTACAAAAAAAAAAAAAAGTATATTATATTATCTTATACAATAACGGTAATCAAAACGATAGATAATCATGTATAAGATAATCATGTACTAAATATATTCACTCTGTATAGCGAACCTTTTTTTTCTTTTTTTTTTATAAACAAACATATACATACTTGTATATAGCATATAGACAATGTAAGTTACTTTATAAGGAGCTTTTTGAAATTAAAATAATGACCAATTTTGTTCGTTATTAAAGAATTGTAAAAATTTTTTTACAATGAATACGAAAGATAATTATTCTGTAATTATTTAGAACATATGAAGACAAGCAATTTTCAATACCTTAATTTGAACATTCTATTACTGATATCGATAACTTAAAAAAAAAAGTTTTCTAAGCTTTAATTATGACATAATTGTTTTTTTTTTTTTTTTGTACGTAAGTACTAACGTATCATACAGCCTAAACCTGATAGATATCCAGTTTTCGTAAATTTACGTAACATGGGTAGGGTATCTGGTAAATTAAGTTTCATGGTACGTAACAACTGATAAACTTTCAACATATGAAAGATAATTTTACTGAAATTTAAGTGGTACGTAATTACGTATGTACATCAAAAATGTAACGGTAACTCCATTTACATATAATCGAATACAGATACGTATAGATATCAGATAAGAGAATCGAATTATTTTTAGTTCGACGGGCTTTACTTTGTGCCGGTAATACAAACTCCTAAAAGGAAAATAGCCAATCAGTGAATTCAAATTTGATCGTTCCGAATCAGCCCGACATGAATTCCGAACACGTGTAAAAGAAGAAAAAGCGAAAATACTCAAAAGCTAGTGTTTAAACCGGTCTTGTTGCACTAATTAAAAATGTCGGAAACGAAATTTAACATCTTATGAGTAATAGTCTATGACTATAGCTTTAATGTCAACGTTCTAACCTTAAATTCGTGTTTTTACCACTTTGTTTATTTACAAAATCAAATTTCCTTTTTTGGGTTGTATTACCGGCACAAATCATACTAATACTGATGTAGACTACGAATTCTGTATTACGACGTAACGTACTTACCAAAAATATATAGAACATTGTTACGGGAAAAAAAAACAAAAAAATAAAAGCAATTATTAATTAATCATAATGCTTTATATACATCACTATTAGATGAGTAACACCAAGAAAAAGCCGAACTTTGGGCTTACAAATATAACTGGACTTGGAAAGTAAACATTTTAAAAGCCCAAAGTCAGGTTTTCTCTTTGTGGTTTTTTTTTTGTGACACCGGAATATATCTTAAAATAAATCTTTTTTTTTTGCTAACTTGAAACTTCAATGTCAATATGACATTTTCTTTAATCAATATTTGTAAAAAAAAAATCACGAAGCAAAACCTCATAAATGATATAATCAATGGCCTCAACGCGAAAGAAAATGACATGAAAGTTATCCCTACAATAATTCTTTATGATGACCGCGGTTTACAATTTTTTGACCAGATTACTTATATTGACGAATATTATTTGACCAATTGTGAAATCGATATTTTGAATAAAGAAGTTGACCAAATCACTGACTACATCGCCTCGGACAGTAGCGTGATTGAACTCGGAGCCGGGTAAGAATAAAGAATTTAGAATATTGCTTACTGTCAATTCTCTAATAACCATGAGCTATTGTTGCGACTGACCTGTGATCGGCTGACGCTGTGATTTGAGGCACCTACTAAAATTAATACATATAATACTCATTAATGACCTTATTTCTAAATTCTAACCTTGTACTAGAAAAAAAAAGATAGCTGTTAAAATTTTCCTATTTAAATAATTCAAATCTTAGCGTCAAATAATCTCTGCACAGCCACAGCATTTGTTTGGTTTAGAGAGATGACTGCATATTTTAGGGACTGCTATCTAATTAGCATTTGGGTATAATAATTCTTTAAGAAAAATTTTAACTTTTTCTTAGATTATTTAGGATACTTTTTACAATTAATTTTTCTTTTTTATAAAAGTTGTAGAAAATAAAAATTCTTGATATATTTGCTTAGTAAATAAAGCTGGTAAATCTTCACCAAAACTCGAAAATCCTTAAAATATAAAATTTAGGACCTAACCATTGGACTGGTCCTAAACTTTTGTACTTTGGAAATTTCAGAATTCTGATCATCTTTATTTACTAAGCAAGTATGTTAAGAATTTTATTTTTTATAAACTTTTAATAAATAGCTCATCAAGAAAAATTCATCGTAAAAAGTTACAGTTTAATTTGGACCAAAAAAGTCCCTAGCTGCACAATATTTAAGTAATTTCTTTGGCAGAGTATTTTTGTCAAATACTGTGCGTGTCTTTAAATTTTTTTTCATAAGATAGCTAATTTAAAAAGTATATATATTTATATATATATCAGATCGTTGCGTAAGACTCAGATTATTCTCAATAATCTGGAAAAAAAGAAGAAAAATATTACTTATTATGCCCTCGACCTCATGGAACATGAGCTTAATAAATCTTTATCCTCGTTGGGAACCTTTTCAAATGTTAAACTTGTTGGTCTCTGTGGCACTTATGAAGATGGAATGGATTTTGTTGCAACTTTACCAAAAGATAAACAAAAAACTATCATGTGGTTAGGTTCCTCAATTGGAAATTTAAATAGAGAAGATGGTGCAAATTTTATCCATCGTTTCCAAGAAAAATCAATGAATCCAGGTGATTTGTTCTTAATCGGAATCGATAGAAGAAATGACCCTGAGAAAATTGCCACTGCTTACAATGATCCTCAAGGCATCACCGCTGAATTTATAATGAATGGATTGGATCATCTTAATGTTATTTTTGATCAACCATTTATCAATCGTAATAATTTTGATTATTTTGCAACTTATAATGAAGATGAAGGTAGACATGAAGCGTATTATCGATCTAAAAATGATCAAACATTAGAATTTGTACTTCCTAATGATGTCAACAAAGAAAAAATCAAAATTAAATTAAAAGAAGATGAACTTATTCTAATTGAATATGCTTATAAATATAATAAGGCTGAAACTACTAAACTTTTTTACGATGCTCGTTTGGCACATGTAGAAAGTTGGTCTGATTCTGATTTTCAATATGATCTTCACTTAACTTATAAACCTCCATTCTTCTTTACACGTCTTCAAGAATCAAATGGGTCTGTACCAACCGTTGAAGAATGGCGAGAAATATGGAAATCATGGGATACAGTATCCTTGAGCATGATTCCATTGGATAAAATGCTTTCAAAACCTATTTATCTTCGACATCCTTTTATTTTTTACCTCGGTCATATTCCCGCTTTCCTTGATATTAAATTGGCAACATATAGTCATGAAACATTCACAGAACCAGAAAGCTTTGCCACCATTTTCGAACGAGGAATTGATCCTGATATGGATGATACGTCAAAGTGTAATCCTCATTCGGCTATTCCCGATCAATGGCCAAAATTAAGTTCAATCCTCGAATATCAAGACAAAGTTAGACAAAGACTTTTACGTGTTTACGATGCCTATAAGGATAAACAAATTCCACGTTCATTAGGTCGTGTCTTGTGGATGTCTTTTGAACATGAAGCAATGCATCTTGAAACTTTTCTTTATATGTTAGTGCAATTCGAGGATCCTTTACCACCAAAAGGCGTTGTTATTCCTAAGTTCACTCCATCTATTCATAAAGCTTCTGATGCAAAATTAATTACAATACCCACACAAACTGTTACACTTGGTCATGATGATAATGAGGATCTCGACGACTCAGTTCTGTTAGACTTACCATTCGGTTGGGATAACGAACATCCTTTACGGACAATCACCGTACAATCATTTAAAATTCAATCACGCCCTATAACTAACAATGAATACTTGGGATTCATGAAGGCAACTTTGAATCGTAATTACCCGTTATCTTGGATTCCAATAGATCTTCCATCATTTGAATATAGAGTTCGGACTGTATTCGGACCTGTCGATATGAATGTGGCAATGAATTGGCCCGTATTGTTGAGTCAGGAACAAGCAAACCATTATGCCGAATGGGCAAATATGCGACTACCCACTGAAGAGGAATTACGATTGTTTTATGATACTTACTCACAAAATTCAGATTTGGATTCAAATTTTGGATTTGCCCATTGGCATCCAACTGATGTTCCCTTGGATGGCAATTCTGTTCATAAGATTGGTAATGTGTGGGCATGTACTTCTACGAAATTTGAAGAATACCCTGGGTTCGTTAAAAGTAAATTGTATCCTGGATATTCTTCCGATTTTTTTGATGGAAAACATTATGTAATTCTCGGTGCATCATGGTAAAAACTTAATTCATGATTAATCAGTCGAAAATTAATTTGATTACTAAGTAACCCTTTTTTTTTTTTGATGTAGGGCAACGCATCCTCGCTTAATACGACGGACGTTCCGAAATTGGTATCAACGCTCCTACCCATATGTATTCAGTAGTGCTATACTATGTCAATCTTCTTAGAAGGTCCGCGTTGCCAGTTGACTTAGTCAACCCAATTATATGCGTTTCTTTTTGTATTAAATTATAAACGCATTCTACTATTGAATCTCGACAGTTTCAATTGTTTCCTATTCTGCATTAATGATTTCTTGTTCATTAATTTAAATTCTTGTCTGCCAATGTCTTCCTGTTCTTTATTATCACTGGTTTCTGATATATCATTAGCTTCTTGCTCTTCATTAATGGTGTAAGCTTTGGTGATGTCTCCATTTTCCTTCATACTTTATTTCGGTCTCGAAACGAATTCTTACCTTCTACGAGAAAAAAACATCGTAACTAGTGATGGGACTATCAATGTTAACAAATGGTGATACTTAATTGTCGATTTCAATAATTTATATATCACAGTGCGTGAAAATTGAATTTTTACATCAGTAGTCCCATCGCTAATCGTAACGTTCTTAAATGAGTTAGCTCAAACCGGATTATTTGTCATACCCACATGCCTACTGCCGATACTGTGCAATTATATTACTTAATCTAAATTTTTTTTAAAAAAATATGCAGACGATACGTAGAACTATCCAGGATTTAGGGGGTGCATTTGAAAAAATTTGGGCATGCCCTCTTTATTGTGTCCGGTGCATGCTCCTCTTTATTGTGTCCGGTGCATGCTCCTCTATATATACCAAGTACTATACATTATTAAGAATTTTTTCAAAAATTATATAAGGATTTTATAATTTATTGCAGGTGCAATATATTACATCTTTTATAGATAGAGTATATTTATATATTGCAACGTAGCACGATCAGAAAATTCAAAAAAAACGTTCGTTTTGTCAAAAATTACCTATAACTCAAATTGTCGATTAAGAAACCATCTCATGTTTTAACGAAAAAATTTCTTGCAACGTTTTACTATAAGCCTTTTTCTTTTTTCACGTATCTAACCCTAATCCTGACTATACGAAAAACCCGGTTTATTTTAGGTTGTTTTTATGGCAACAACATTACATGTGCGATGTTTAAAACCCATATAATTTAAACTTGTGTAATATACACACAAATTTAGTACTTTTTAAATCTGTGTGACGTTACAATGTTTTGTGTAACGTTATACCAAATTTGTATAACGTTATACAAATTTGTGCAGCAGACTTATATTTTACATTTTTGATAACTAAAATTGCATTTTTGATACATTTATATTAGAAATATCAAAAATATAACAATAATATTGGTGCACAAAATTAAATTTTTTTAACATTAATGGTGAAGTCATACTTCTATCTTTATTGAATATTTAATTGAGATTTTATATAGAGTATAATTCTGCTTTTAAAATATTATAGAAAACCATCCTTTTAAATTTAGTATTACTTTTTCTAGTTAATTCTTTTTCTTTTTTACTTGTACTTATTTTTTCTATATTATTTTTTTAATTTTTTTTGTATAGTGCTTCATCTATGTAGAATAAATATTTTTTTTTGTTTCTTGTTAAAGTTTTTATTAGTTGGTTTGTAAGCATTTTATCTAATTTTTGCTTTTTTTACTATTTTAACTTTTAGTCTTTTTTGCTTATTTAAGTTTTATTAATTTTCTTTTCTTTTTTCTTTATTCTTTTGTTCTGTTTTTTTTTTATTAGTCTATTATTGTATTAATCTTATTATTACTCTTTATTCTAAAATAGTTTTTATATTGTAATCTTGTTATATTTATCTTTTATATTTATTTATTATCTGTATTTATGTGTTGTTATAACTTTTGCATCTGTTTATTTTTGTAGATATATATTTTTTTCTTTATATATTAAGCAGTATTTAATTAAAAATTTCTTATCTTTTTTGATTATTTTGACTAATTATTAATTATTTATTAAGCTATATATAATCTATTCATTTCTTTTTAGAATTTATAAATTGTATTGTTTATTTTATATTGATTACATACTTATTTATTTGTTTGTTTTTTTTAACTTAAGCAGTCATGCTAGCATTTTATTAAGATTCTTGGAATTACTTTTGCAATTACATAGATTTACCTAACAGCTAAGCCTAGCATTATCCAGTCATCCTAAAGATACCTAAATGCAACTTGCTGCATTATTTCAAATAGAAGTAGGCTGCTTATTTAACTACTTAAAGTTCATAATGAAAAGATCTTTCCTCTTTCACAACTTTAAATTGTTTTTCTAATTTCTTCTTTGATTCTTTCTTTTTTTTTACTTGCTTCTTTTCTTCTTTGATTTTTTGTTAATTTATTTTTTCTTTTTTCTTTAGGTTCTTTTTCTTTATTTTTTTTTAAATTTGTTTATTAGTTTTTTTTTTCCTCCTATTTATTAACTTTTCATATTGTATTCTCCAAACTTGTTTATAGAAAGTATCTTATATTATTTTTGTTACTGTATTTGCAAACTGTTGTTTTGTCTTTATACTTAGGAGTTGTGCCAATCTGTTTTGTCTTTTTTTAAAATTAGGCCTTTAATTAATGCTTTTCTTATTTTTATTTTTTCTGTTTCTACTTTTCTAAAAAGTATTATATATAGTATATATAAAGGAATATAAGTTCTTTTTTCTTCTTTTAGCTCTTTTCAGACTGTTATGATAATTATTTTTTAGATTTATTTTTAGAGATTTGTTTGTCTTTTGCAAGATGCCAAGTGTAACTATGTTTTATTAACTTTATCTTAACATACTTGGCATTCTGTTATTGTGTATATATTTGGCTTTCTTTTATTAAATTCTTTTAAAGTTATAAGTTTATTTATCATATATTTTATAAATATACATCTTCTTGTATTATTTCTTCTTATTATGCAATATACACCTTTAGTCATCTTTAATTTTTTTCAAAATTATGTTCAGTTATAAATTATGATCTCTGTTTTTGGCTTTAGCTTTTTGATTACTTTTGTTTTTTTCTATTTTGCTTCTAATCTTATATTTGTTACCAATTTGTATAACAGTCTTGCTAGTATGTCAGTTCATCTGTTTTCCTATTCTAAGTAGTACTTTATCTCTTTACAATTAACTTTTTCTATTTGTATTATTTTCTTACTTATTGTTTTTGTTTTTGCAAGACTATTAACTTTGTCATTCTACTTGTTATAATTTTTAACTTTTACTAATTCTATTTGTAACTTTTTTATATTAATAAGATCTATAATCTTCATTATTTTTTTTCTTAAGAATCTTCATTCTATTTATTTGTTCTAAACCTTTATTAATGTTTTTTATTACAGTATTACTGTCTATACATATTTTTACTTGTCTTTCTTTTGGAATTATTAAGATTGTTGCACATATTGCTACTAATTGTGCTATTGTTTTTTTTTTTTTTTTTTTTTATAAGAGAGGTCTTTCCTCTAGTCCTTTATTTCGATAATATATAATTAAGTACATT